TTACCGAGAAAAATGGCGCGGAGCCATGGACAAAGAGCTAGCAGCTCTCAAGGGTCGCGGTACATGGGAGGTAATACCGACATCAAAGGTACAATGGAGGAATGTACTTACCGGAAAATGGGTCTTCCACGTCAAGACTAATGCAGATGGGTCGTTTGAAAATTTCAAGGCGCGATGGGTCGTCCACTGATTCGATCAGACTTACCGTCTCCGAAACAGTCTCACAGTTTCTCGGTCTAAACATTACGTGTTCACCGACGTCGATTCACCTCACTGCTTCGAAGTACGCGGCGACGCTCGCTGCCCGCTTCAACCTCACCCCTACTGCAGTCTCTACACCGTACCGTTCTCTACCGAATGACTACAAATCGAATACTGCACCGTTAAATTCAACTGGTTTACAGACCTATCAACAGCAGTTAGGCTGTCTACTCTTCGCCGCTGTTACTTGTCGTCCAGATCTGGCCTACGCGGCTAGTCAGCTCGCTCAGCACCAACTGACATCGGCTCGACTCCTGACATCGGCTTAGTCTACAACGTCATCGGCTGTAAAACTCTATACCTACACGGTTTCGTCGACGCCGATCACGCTGCTGACACTACTAATCGACGCTCACGTACTGGGTTCATCTACCGGCTTGTAACCTATCGGGCCTATTTCTTGGAATTCAACAAAGCAGGAGCTGATTGCTCTCTCCTCTGCTGAAGCTGAGTTTATTGCTGTCTGCACAGCAACACGCGAAGGACTTTACCTGCAGGAACTATTGGAAGAAGCAAAGTTGACGACGACTACCCAGTTTACCCTGCAGTGCGACAACCAAAGTGCAATTCGCATCGCGCACTAGCCTGGTTTCGTCAACAGGACGAAACATATCTCACTACGCTACTTTTTCGTCAAGGATGGAGTCGAGAAGGGGAGAATGCGATTGGTCTACTGTTCGACCCACGAAATGGCTGCCGATTTTCTCAAGAAGAAGCTGACACGACAGAAGTTCCAGTACTGTAACAAACTTTGCGGGATCTGCAAGAAGTGACACTATCGAACTTTCAGAAATGAAGGGGAGTGTTGTCATATAATTCATAACGTAGCATTTCTGTGAGTCACTTATGTGTAGATACCGTATTCCCCCGTATACAACACCCCGCAAAATTAAACTCCCATGGGTAGTTTGAGCGGACATGGGTGCTTTATTAAAGTGGATATTGATAACACCCGCCTTCGGCGATTGCAAACATTTGAACACCCCCCTGCTTTATAAAATGTAATTTTTAGTCAATAAACAGAGCTACGAACATCAGATGTTAGATATCCTACGAATTCCATAGAGTATTGCCTACGGAACCAAGTCCTACTGCAGATTGTCATATTGCATGATGAGGTCCTACAGATGCTAGTCGTCGGCTTCAGCATCCGCAGCATCACCGTCACAGTCTTCAGCATCAGCATCCTCCTCCTCAGGATCCCCCGCATGCCAGATCTCCACATCTTCTTCATTCGCGACCTCAGCCCACCAGCGGTCGTCATCGTCCTCCCCAGCAATCCCCTCTGCCGGCCACTCCGGAACATGCTCATCCAGCGGGCCCTCCCCCTCGCATGCATGCTCTTCAAGTAGGACGTCAGCAGCGTTATCGTCCTCATCGAAGTCGGGGGTGTCCATGGGGGGCTCAACAAAGCAGTCGTCGTACAGGGGGTTGACGTACTCATCCTCCCCCTCCTCCGCGTGCACATCGTCCATGATCTCCACCTCTGCCTTGCTGCGGAGGTGGCTCAGGACGAGCCGGTCTTCGGAGCCACTGAGGTCGTTGGCAATACCGCAGGTCCTGAAGCTCTTGCGGATGAGCTCCTCGGGGACTGCATCCCATGAGCGAGCAATCCACTTGAGGATTAGCTCCGGTGGGGGCTTCCTCAGATTTCCTGGAAGACATAGGACACGCATGCTTTCCTTAGTCTTCTCGTGACACTTGCGTTACGCCCAGTAGGAAAAAAACCAGCGACAGTGCTGAAGGAAGTGGACCGTACCTTGCTTGGTCTTGAGATTGATGCCGAATCTCTCAAACCACCCGCCGTAATCACTTCGAACGCCTGCCTTGAAGCACTTGTTTACCGAGACGTCGAGGGGCTGCACCAGCGGCGTGCACCCTCCCGGGATAATGGCGCGGGTAAACTTGAAAAGGCGCATCGTCTGTCCCACCGCCTCTGTCAGGTGGCCCTTGTAGGAATCCAGGACGACGAGCGCGTCCTTCCTCCTCCCATTTGCTTCGCACAATGGTTTCATGAACGGGTTCAGGACCTGGGTGACCCAATCCTGAACGTGCTTCTCGTCCATCCAGCCCTTGTTCTGGGCGCGGACTATTACTCCTGCATCAGTAAACGATTAAATGTGTGTTAGAACTTAGATTACCGAGGCCACCAGAATCGATATCACCTTTGACAAAGGGAATATCTTACCAGCTGGGACTTGAATCTTAGGAACAGTCTTCCTTTTGAAGATGACGTATGGCAGGAGCTTCTTCCCCGATCCCGTCACTGCCAGCATCACAGTGAGTCTTTCCTTCTCATAGCCTGCGGTCCTCACGTGAACCGTGCACGCCCCCTTGTGGTCCAAGGTCCTCTCCTGTGGCATCTCGATGAAGAGCGGCGTATGGTCCGCGTTCACAATCAGGTCGTCGCTGTAGTTGTTCAGGATGCGCATCTGCTTGACAAATTCCCAAAACTTTTCAATCTTCACCCTCATGTCTGCATTCATAAACTCAAGGATACGAGAATGAATTAGATTGTAGACCCAGGCAATGTCTAAACAGGTAAGGAAGCTTGAACGAATAACATCCACCGGCCAAACTTACCGTCAGCAAGTTTCTGACCCATTTTGGTTTTAACGCGGCGTGTTAGACCCCATCGGGCACGAAACCGGAAGGTCCACCGACTCGACCCGCGCCAGTCCACGCCAGGATGGTGCACCCGCATGTAGGCGCGACTCCACTTCTGCAGCTGCGAGACCGAGACTGCGAGCCCCTTGGACCGATGCCTCAAGAACTGTCGGGAGAGAGCCGACTCCATCACGGGGTACTTGGCCGGACGACCGCCACCGACGAGCCTCTTCCGACAACCAGCCGCAACTCTCAGCCGATCCCGGGCCTTCTTCCATTCCCGAATGCTAATGGGCTGAATACCTGCAAGCTTCGCGAGGGCACGAATAGACAGGTCAGGCTGTGCGTCAAACATCGTGAGCCAATACAGTTTCTCAGTAGCGGAATAGGAGCGACGTGCTCGTTTGGTCATTCTGGTGCGGGGGGACGATGGATTCGCATCGTGGTTGATGGTGGGTCCTCTCGGCCTGACAACGGGTGACGGGAATGAGGGGAAAGTTACACGGGGCAGCGTACGGCGCTCCTGGCTAGCACCACCAGCCGCCTCGTCGGCAGTTGTGGCATCGTTGCTAGCTGTACGGAGCGGGCTCCTAGGCGGAGATGAACTAGACGATCGCAGGACATGACGAGTGAAAAATGTCTGCCGGCCATGAGGGCCGCGTTGGGCAAGAAGGCGACTAAGACCAGAGCCCGTAGTCATGGCGTCGGTAGGCTAGGAGGATAAGGGCAGAGAGCCCAAGATGCCTTCGACAGTCCATACTGGAGGAGTTTTGAGAGCATCCTGATCTCGGATGCAGAAATGAGGGGACGAAGCGGGCTATACCCCCCGTGAAACGACGAGGGTGGAGAGGAGAGGGACGTGAGCTCCTCCCTTGTCATGCCGCACACGACACCCCCGTCAGGACCATCTAGCGCTCACGCGCTGGACGCATCTTGACGACTCCGTCAAGATGCCCCACGGTACCCTGCCAGATTCATCGACTCTGGCATGCTGCCATCGAGACGAGGTGCGCTGGCACACATCAGACAGGTAGCTGAGGAATCGGCGCAGATAGAAGACCCTCATTGGCTGCTGAACTCACCCTTGGGTGACACATGATCCCACTTGGCATGCCCCCGAGCCTTATCATCTCGTACGCGGTCAGAAGTCAGTTCAACAGGTTTCCAAGGTCTGGTTTAAGAACCCCTGCTTTTCTCCACATTGAACTATAAAATGCATGTTCCACAACACCCAGGCGTTATACAAAATTAGCCTCTAATTACACCCTCCTCAAAATTTAGATGCGTTTTGGTTACCACCCTAGGGTGCTTTATACGGGGGAATACGGTAGTATCGAATCCTACTGTAGTATATAAGTCCGTAGGATGACGTCAGCAAATAGCGCTCGTCATGGGGACAGTCGTTTCAGTCACGCGAACAGTCGTACCTCTTCATTGTCATTTAGGGCGCAGAGCGCGATAGTGACGAACAAGTACATTAGCAAATAGGTACTTTTCCTAGAATTATAAATCCTTGTTACCGTATTCCCCCGGATATACGCACCGCCAGCTAAAACGCACCATGGTGCGTATATCCGGAGGGGTGCCATATCGGATGTGCCAATGATACGCACCCCCCCATTTTCCAGATTCTAATCCCTATACGCACCCCCCTTTTCCCCGTGGGAATCTCGCACTGACTATGTTGACTGTACATTTGGCATCAAGTTTACGTGACGAATCACTTCATCACACAAAATCGACCCCTGGCCTTCCGACTCATCGAAGGTGTGGTCGGCAAAGCTCTGCTGCCGTGTCAGATGAGAGAACGGATGGCCAGGATCGCCCACGCTAGCCTGCACGCTGGCAAACTGCAGCGAACGTGCTGCTTGGCTGACGCGTCAATCGTCTGGGAAGCGATTTTGGCGGGACTTCTCTGGTTGTTCCCGTTTGGGAGCATTCCATTCGATTGCAATTTGTTCTAGCTACATGTTCATGTTCGTTTCAAAATTTTCCTTAAGAACGTTTTTAACGCACCGTGCCATATAAAAAAAATCCAATTAAACGCACCCCCAAAATTATGACTATAATCCCTATAAGCACCTAGGGGCGTATATCCGGGGGAATACGGTATGCCTTTCCATAAGCTCAAGTTGTTATGACTTTTAAAAGAGCTATACTCAGATTCAGTTTTACAAGACTTCCGCTGTCTTACTAGTCTACCATTCCAGTAAAGATCCTGGACTAACACTTGAGGTTTTCCAAGTGTTCGTATCTGCAGATTCTATACTTGGACTCCTGCAACACCTAACAAATTCTTACAGTACTGAAACAATGGATGTAGGCACACTTGCGCAGTGCACCTATCTCCCAGATGCGCTTCTATCCCAGTGGATTGCAGTACAAGCAAACATTGGACTAGAGTGTGGACACTATGCACCATTGGCACACTCGTGGGACACCAACGTTGCCGAATGGCCGCACTGGCCTCCAGATTGCCTCCTGCAACAGAATTTTACTGCCTCGCATGCCTGTATGGCCTCTATGCCCGCTCGCAGGTCCCAGTCCATGCTCTTGATCATGCGCAACAGAGGAGCTGGGTGCTTGGATGTTGCTGTGTCCATTCTCTCCCCTACCTGCTTGCCCCTGCTGCACAGCTGCCCCACCTGCGTCATTTCTCCATGCATGTCCCCCTGCCCCGCCAACGTCCCCTTCCATCCAGTCGCTGGAACTCTGCCTGCCCGGCCCGTTCTCAGCCACGCCCCTCCCTGCAAACCCCACCTCCAGGTCGCTACGACCATCCATGCCTCCTTGCACCTCGCCAGCCCCTCCTTGCCTAACCTCATGCCTTCTTCCATGCGCTTGACTCCTTGCGGCACAATCTCCCCCTTCTCTTCCTCCCCCATGCCCCGCCTCTCCCCCTTCGTTCACCCCCCACGTCCTAGGCTGGAATGCATTCACATACGGTGTGCGTTGCAGGAACCTACCCGGGTCAAACCCCACCCCTGCTCCAATCCCTGCTGCCTCCACGCCCCCTTCCACCAGCAGCTGCCCATTCAGCCCCACCACCCCAAACCCTCGGAAGCCGCACACCGGAAGCTTCCCGGCATCGCGCCAGGAGTTGGAGTGTGGCAGGTACTCAAAAACCTGGTGGCACATGGGCGCTACGTGGTTGGTGAGCAGGAGGCAGCCGTCGGCTGTCGTGAGACGCGTGGACACCAGCCCTCCCAAGCTGCGTGGCAGCATGCACGGGACCACACGCCACGCAGGGTAGGGCGTGCCAGCAGACAAGTGCGTTTCTCTCTCATTCTCAACACTCGCTCTGGCCTCGCGTGTGTCCCCTGCCCCATAGCTCGCCCTCCTTCCTCCCCACCCTTCCTTGCTGGCCCTCCTGCCCCCCTCTGCCCCCCCCAGGGCAGTGGCCACAGCAGCAGCCAGCGCGGGCGCGTCCAGCACTTCAGCTGACAGGCTGCGCGTGGCGTACAGGGACGAAGTCGAAACCACCCAGAAGCTTCCGTCGGCGAGCACGAGACCCTGGGAGCAGCGCGTTGGGTGGTGCAGGGGGGGCAGCGGCAGCCAGCGGTTGGTGGTGGGGTCGTACAGCTCTGCTGCCTGCAGCGCCTCGTCAACCCCCACCCACTCCGCCCTGCTGCCACTGCTGCTGCTGCCGCCCACAGTAGGGCCTGGGTGTGCAGCAGATGCGCCATCGGCAGCACCAGCAGCGGCGGTGGTGGTGACGGGGCCAGTGCCGCCGGCCACGATGATGCGGCCAGAGGAGGGCAGCACAGCAGCAGCACAGTTGAAGCGAGGCCATGCCATATCTGCTAGCCGCCGAGCCTTGCCGGTTACAACGTTGTAACGCCACACTGCTCTTGCTGGGAGAAATAGGAGCGGGAGAGGGGTTGGGGGCAGGGAGGTGAGGAACAGGAAGTGGGTGTCCGAATGGAAGGCTATGGGCTGATTCCATGGTTCGTGCCGTGCGCAGGGGCTAAGGCTAATGTTCCTCCACAAAGACTGACGCCGGCCGCCCCATCCCACCTCACCTCACTCGGCCAGCCCTCAACTCGACAGTCCCTCCTACAAACTCATGCCCCCACACTCCCACCCCCAACACCACCTCGCCCTGAGTCCCACCCCCTGGCCCCACTCACATGGGCCGCAGGCGCCTCCTCCCGGCGCACAGCAGGCGCCGCTGCAGGAGCCACCGAGGAGGATGAGGCAGGGGCCCAGCGCGAGCAGCGAGGACGAGTGGCCGATGCCGCGCATGGGCGGCAGGCACCCGTGGCTGTACCACTGCTGCTTCACCGGGTCGTACGCCCACAGCAGCGCCAGGGACGGCGAGGACGCGGACGTGGGGGTTGCGGTGGCGGGAGAGAGGGAGGCGGAGCGGGCACGCTGGCTGTTGCTCACAGCTGAGCGGTTCAGCTGCTGCTGCAGCAGCACGTGGCCTCTGCCCCAGCCCCTGACGTTGGTTGTGGCGGGTGGGACCTCGCCTTCCGCCGCCTGGGAACTCCCATGCCAGTCCCCTTCCATACTACTGCCTGCACGCCGCACCCCCTCTTCATCCCCGCGTCTTGCCTCCCCCGCCTCCTCGTCCTCCGGCTGCTCTCTGCCCGCAAAAGCGCCTTCTCCTATCCCCCCTGCCCCCCAATCTCGGCTACCGCCGTCCCCCAAATCCACGCTGATACCCCCCACCCCCCTCGCCCTGCTTCCGCCCCCTCTACGCCCGCCCCCGCCCCATACCCCCGCGCCACTGCCAGGCGCTTGCCGGCTACAGCTGCGGGTGCCGCCACCGTCGCCGCTGCAGCCGCCTTTGAACATCCACTCGACGGCGAAGAGCCACGACTCGCCGCGGCCGTCCGCGCGACGCAGGCGAAGGAAGTCGGGGCAGGCAACGAGGCGGCGCCACGTGCGACAGACGGCGCGAAGGCGCGGCCAATCGGCGCGCGGCAGGCGAATGAGGCAGTGCAGGAGCAGGTCGGCGGGCAGCGCGGCCAGCGGACACGCGGCGGCGGGAGGGGCGGAGAGGTGACGTGGGGGCGGAAAGGACGCGGCTTGAGCTTCAGAAGCGGAGAGGCTTGTAACGGATAAGTGTGGTGCGGATTGAGAAGGGGCGTTGTTCCTGGCGCTGCTGCCGGCAGTCGTCGGATCCTCGACGGACGCCAGGGCAGCAGTAGCGGCGTCGCCGCCACTGACGGCGCACACACGATGGCTCCACAGGGTTAGGTCTGCCGTGGGCGCGCCATCTGGCGCGCCGGACTTGACTGCGTGCGACGCAAGCGACGGCTCCCCGGGCCGACCGCTGCTGCAACTACGACGCCGATGCTGATGGGCCGCTCGACGCGCAGCTTCCTGGAAGGAGAGACGGCGACGACTCCCGGTGCGGCTGCGTGATCCGTTGCTCCCGCTGCCGCCGCTGCCGCTATCGCTGTTACCGTCGCTGCTGCTGCTTCCACTCGCGCCTTCGGCAGTCGCCGCCCTCTGCTTCTCGTTGGCCGACTGCTGCTGCCCCATGACCACGCCACACGCGGGACGCAGTGAGAGGAGACTAGACGTGACGTGACGAGAGATTGCCAATTGTCAAGTCTCCGATTATTGGCGATGTATCACAGGTTCGGAGACAAGGTCTCGGGACAGAAAGCTGCCCGACCTTTTTTGCTCACGCCTCTGGCGGGGCGAGGACCCTTTTGGGTTTTTAGGCTAGAGGTAACCCTTACTGGCGTTTTACTCTCTTGGGTCACGTTTATCCCTTTACCGTAAGAAATTTTCGTTGTTCCAACCTTCCAGGGCCAAATTTTGTTCTTCGAGGTTAGTTCGCACCACAGCAAACCACGCGTCACAATCTCCTTGCTCCGTCACTGAAGGGCAACTGAACCCTATGTTTCCTGCGATATTGTCGGATCACTACTGAAAATTACGACAAAATCCAGGCAGGTTAGCTGGCAAGAGAAAAACTAAAACCCATAGGGACGTGGGGTGTCGTTCTGGATGGCATCAACCCTAAATTCGCGGCCCTCTTGCGAGTTTAGGGTTGATGCCATCCAGAATGTATGCGGGCCCCCTAAGAGTTTTATTGTTTCTGCCATCTGCCCAAGATTAAAGAGATTGTTACACGTGGTTCGCTCTGGAGCGAACTAACCTCGAAGAACAAAATACTGCCCCCGGGGGGTTTGAACAGCGAAAACCCTTCTGTAATAGGAGCTAACCTTGACCCCGAATAATAAAACGCTAGTAAAGTTTACCTCTAACTTAAAAACCCGACCCTTTTTTATCATTTCCCAAATCCGACGTCCACATTCTGTCCCCTGTGCTCGGTTGTCGGTGACGTAGACGTGGAGCGATAAGGTTCGGATCTGGCACGCGCGTCGTTTCGTCTCGGGAATACCATGGCAGCAACCAGTCACTTCGGCTCGGTTCGGGCCTTGCCGCGTTCAAGTTCGGGAGTTGCCATGCCTAACTGAAAGCTGGGGCGTGTTCTCCTTGTTCGTTTCTGGCTGACACAAACAAAATTGTACGTCATATTCTACTAACGCAAGCTCCAAGATTGTAGGAAATTGCGAGTGACGAATATTGCTTTGTGACCCAAGCAAATTTGTATACATGTCATATTCCCTGAGCACCCGGGGGGCAACGCGAGAGATTTCCCTTCTAACGAATACTGGTCGTACGATGGGGGGCAACGTGGACTATGGGGCCAGGAAATGGGGCGTTGTTTTTTATGTATTGTGCATGGGCGGCTTGACTAGCGTATGCAGCGACTGAGTAAACATCGCCATGTCGCAAGCCTCTCCACATGTGTATCAACTCGACGTTTCAAGAGAATGTCAGATTCCTTGGCGCGTTCCTTCGTGCGTTCGTATTGGCTGTGGGTTCACGGGTTTTCCAGGGGCTATGCCGATGGATTCTGTTGGCGTTGCTAGCGTAATTCTACTGGACCGTCAGCGAGGTGGTCGTATCTAGCGCATCATGTGGATTTTTGCCATGACATTGGTTGGCGAGCCTGACACATTTGGTTTTTTAGAGGCTCGCCAACCACTAGGTGTGGTCGCTCTGAAAACACCAGAGCAAACTAATTGGACGGCCTTGGATCAGTCGAATTGACTGTCTAATTTACTGTTCAATGAGACGGGTACACTTTGTCTACAAAGAGTGGCCCTTAAGGATAAATTGCCTATGGAATACTCCTGGGCGTAAAAGGGGGTCGTCTACAAGGCAAATGACCTGTATATCGTTTCCGAGGTTGTGGGAGCTTTGGCGTATGCGTACTGTAGAGGGCGGGGAGCCTGTTTTTGTGCCGACCATGTCCACGTAACACTACTGAAACTGAACAGCGTATAGGCCGTGTCTGGTTCGGACAGAAGGTCGAGTGCTTGGAACAGTACTCGCATGGTAGGCGATCCTTCGAATGCGATATATCGTCCCGATAGCTTGTGCGCTGCAAATATTGAAACTTGCGAATAGTAAATACGCCCTCCCTGGGGCTTACCATTTCCGTGTGGCAAACTTTGCCAACGTTGCCAGTTTGTACCGTAACAACCTTGGCGTACGTGTCAGACGTAGTCAGGGGGTATCCGTCATCGCACGTGGAGCACCTGGATTCGCTAGTCTACTATATCTGGGTCAGGTCGTTGGTTGGCGCTTGAAACCTCTGCGATCGCAAGGCGTCGTCGCCCTGTCCGCGAGCGTCATTAGTTTGAGGAACACAAATTACTGGCCATTTTTTGGGTTGCGGAGCAACCTATTGCGATCGATCGGACAATATTATTTCTCAAGTTTTATGAAGTTTTATTATTATTATTTTATATTAATTGAAGCAAAATGATGGGGAATATTGGCAATATATTGTAGATGGCTCATCTAAACTACATAGCTTCATTAGTTTCGCTTGACAAAAAATTGAAGCATGTGTCATATCCCACTACAACATAATACTTTAAACGACACAATGATGGAAAAGGGTTCATGTTTTCCATTATTTTCCGATATGTGGAAGGGAGTAATTGAAATGTGTAATATAGTGTAATATAATAATTACAATATGGTATTGGAAAATAAAACAAAATGATGGAAAACAAGAGAAAAAATGTAAATAATTTCCATCATTTCGCGTGGCGTATTTTTGTCGGCGACAAAAATAGGCAATCGCTTCCCAAGCTAAGTGGGGGTAATTGAAAGCATAATTGACAAATCACACAACATTTTTTTAGGCAATGCGTTTTGCGATTGCAAGAAAATATATTGCGCGTATCATCTCTTGTTCAAATGACTGCACTCAAGGTGGAAAGTCAGAGAACCTTACTCTAGACGATAAGTACAATCTTTCTTGTTGCATACACAAAATGAACACCCGTGTATTAAGCAAGCAGTAGCAGAATAGAAAAGGGCTGCAACGCAAAGCAAATGGCAGCGACACAACACTTGGACTTCAAAATGCATCACGAGAAAGAAAGGCAACAAGTAGAAAGCAATTGAAACAAGTTATGTGATGTGACAGTCCACTGTAGAAAAATAGCACAGTTGGAAACCAGAGGTACATTCTTTTGGCATTCCTGAATCACCAATACAAGTGGCAAAACAAACAAAAAAAACATGAAAAGAACACAAGTTTAGTTAAGAAGATAATGCATGGTGGAACTCGGGAAATGGAAATGAGGATTGAAGAAATGAACGACAAATGAGATAGAGGTAAAAAATGGGACGAGAGAGGTAGAGAGAGAGAGAGAGAGAGAGAGAGAGAGAGAGAGAGAGAGAGAGAGAGAGAGAGAGAGAGAGAGAGAGAGAGAGAGGGAGAGAGAGAGAGAGAGAGAGCGAGAGAGAAAGAGAGAGAGAGAGAGAGAGAGAGAGAGAGAGATAGAGAGAGAGAGAGATAGAGAGAGAGAGAGAGAGAGAGAGAGAGAGAGAGAGAGAGAGAGAGAGAGAGAGAGAGAGAGAGAGAGAGAGAGAGAGTGCAAGGGGGAGAGCAAGAGCGAAAGAGAGAGAGAGAGAGAGAGAGAGAGAGAGAGAGAGAGAGAGAGAGAGAGAGAGAGAGAGAGAGAGAGATAGAGAGAGAGAGAGAGGGAGAGAGTGAAACAGAGATCAAGAAAGAAGGAGCATAAGAAGGATGGCTCAAAGTTTTGAACCTGCAGCCAGCCATAAAAAGATAGCAGATGCATAATAAGGGTGGTTCAAAGTTTCGAACCTTCAGCCAGATCACAAGAGTTAGCAGAATAAGAGACATGTGAAACCTGGATAAGAGGACGTGGAAATGAAGAGAACGACAATGAACAAAGAAAACATGCAGAATCAGGAAGTGCGACGTAAGGAACGATTGCCCGTGATGGTGGGAGAAAGGAAGAATTGAAATCGAAGGAAGGGGAAGGGAATGAAGACATGATGGGGAAATTCGGGAAAACAGGAAATCGGAAAGAAGACATGGTATGGACAAGAGCAGAGGAGAAGGGCATGGCGGAAGGGTAGAATTCGTACCTTGAAATAAAGTTGAAAGGTGATTACTCGTGGTTCCTTAATAAGCTAGAGCACCTAGAGAGATAAGAGATATTGGAAAAGTGAGAGGATGTTTACTTGTTAGAGGAAAACAGCAAGGAACATAAGAAGAGAGGGACCTAGGGAAAGAAAGGAGGGAAAAGCTAGCATGACTATCAAACTAGGAGGTTGACGACACGCTGAGAGAGAAACTAGGCCTTAACCCAACTATGGGATGGCCTTGGCTAGAACACTTGAATAAAACTGCTGGCGGTGACGAGCAAGCTGTGAGATTTAGGTATGGAGGAAGAAAAAAAAATTGAGTGTGAAAGGGAGAAAGAAAAGTTGGAGAATGTGGGTGGAACGCCCAGGCTCTCGCAGCTGTGAAGGAAGTTCCATCTATTTTCTCGTGTCCATCAGAAACTGCCCAACTAGATTGCAATTGGTGAATTAGTTTTCGAACATATTAGGGCGTGTTCTATCTATTTGATTCATTGTACGTGTTGCATTCAATACTACGGAACTACGAGTTCGAAAAATCATTGTTTCTCGTATTGCCAGCTCCATAACCAACTAAACGGTAAAAATCAATGAAATCGGAAAGTTAAAATACGCCCTCGTAATTCGCGTCGTTGAAAAAGCCAGGCGCGCTTTGACGAAAAAAAATCTGAACGGGTGGCAGAACAAATTCGACGTCACTGGACGGCTACAGTATTTTATGCCAGAAACTGAGCGCGCGACGAGCCTTGCCATTAGGCAAAAAAAAACAAAACCTGCCAGGTGGCAACTTTCACCACCGGGCAGGGAAATCATATCGCACAGTATCGAGAGTGACGACATTAAAACGAAAATGAAAACGAGATGAATTAAGAACTGTAGCGTAATAATAAACAATATATAAAAGTAACATAAGAATATAAAACATGGAAATAGAAGAACCAGCTCTAGGTGGCGGTTTCCACGCTTGGCATTCGTGACATGTTCATAATCTGACTAGTATAAAAACACAGAATATGTTTCATTTACGTACACTTCTAAATGTTGTGTACTTCGAGGTTGGGTTATTTATGAGTAGTATACTGGCACAAGTCCTTTTTTTTTTTTTTTTTTTTTTTACAATAGAGCTCTGCAACCCTAAGACGATTT